TATATATATATATATATTTCCCAAGCAATACAACTCTGGCCCAATCTGCCAGCTCCACCTTAGCAAAGTAGAGATAGTTAATTGAACTCCTCCTTAGATGATGGTTAAGAGATAATCTGTTGTAATGAAGTATGCTTCTTGACAAACCACCTCCATGACCACCATCAGCAGCACCAAAAAGATGATTGAATAAACATGACTTTGTTGTTTATAAATGGCACCCTTATAAACTGGCATCCATGATAACTGCCAGCCTTTCTCTGTACCATATTCAGTTGTAAAGCACATACCACTTTTAGTCTTCCTTGAGACCCTCGCACATGCTTACTATTTTTATACTAGTAACATATGGGTTTGAAAATATGTGATAAAAAATAGAAAAAACACATGGAATCTTAACAATGTGGTGAGACAGTTGGTTTCTTGTTATTTTCTATCCCCGTGTCAGCCAATTTAGGGCATCTTTTGCATACTGAATACTGATATTATTAACCAGATACATCAAAAAACAAAAACAAAATCCCCCTGGGTTTTGCATTCATACCCAATGAACTCATCTTTCATTTTTCACAGTCCACTGTTTGCAGACTTGAGGGAAGCTATTTGCTCAAAAGTTCAGGTGAAACAAGACTTGCCAACGATTTAGCCTTCCAAGACCAAGGTTGACAGTGAAGCAGGTGGAGACGTTCCATGACATAGACCAGTGGCTCTTAATGTGTGGCCCCATCAGCAAATTCGGCATCACCTGGAAACCTGTTAGAAATGCAACACCTCCTACTCCGCTCCTGACCAACTGAATTGGAAACTCTGGAGAGGAGGCCCAGTAATTCATTTTTCACAAACTCTCCAGGTGATGCTGATCATTGGTAGAGATTACACTTTGCTCTGCATGGTAGAACAGTGCTGAAGCTAAAGTGCGGGAGTGAGCTCTCTGTATTGGCCTGTCAATGGTAATTTGCAGCTGCTTCCTATCTGGGAGGGTGTTCTGGTGGCCTACTGGGTTACTTGTCTTGGGCTAGTAATTATAAGGTCAGCAGTTCAAACCCACCAGCCCTTCCTCAGGAGAAAAAATAAGGCTGTCTGCTCCTATAATGACTTACAATCTCAAACATTTAGGAGAGCTGTTTGACTCTATCCTATAGGGCCACTGTGAGTTGGGATCAACTCGATGGTAATTGGTAGTTGGTCTTCTGTGAGGCCTATCAGATTTTAATCACTTGAGCAGCCTAATTTAAAAATCACATGTAGTTTACAGCTGGAATTAAATGTTTTATACTTAAATAACTGCTTTTGATTAGTATCATTTTTTAAATTGAAAGTTGTTGGTTCTGTGTTCTGTAAAGTTATTTATAAAAACTCATAAAAGATCGTCCAGTAACAAGCATCCTTTTCAGTATAAGGTAAAATGTTTTACAACAAAGCTCCTGCTGTGTAATGGCCAATCAAAAGGTATTTAAGACGAGTGAATGGATTTCTTGGATTCATATGCAAAATGAAACATTTTAAGGCATTAACATTTCATACTTTTGCCTTTTTTTAAAAGTTGATTTTATGTAACCCTCATTATTGGTAACTCCTGAAATCACCAAAGATCTTGCTTAAGCAGCATGCTACTTGTTTTTATCTCATCTTTCTTTGGATTTACAGAAATCAGGGCTGAGAACTGGTTCATTCTTACAGCTCTACCCCAGATCTACTGAATCAAAATCTACATATTACTAAGATCCCCTCGTGATTCTTATGTGTTAGAATGTAGACTCTGATTCAGCAGATCTGGGGTGGAAGTGCATGCACAAGTCTCAGCACAGGGTTGACCAGGAGCCCTAACTGAAATGTAGGAGGTTTGAAAACTGACTTAACTTAGTGGTATGTGTCTGTTTAGATGTGTGAGTAAATAGTTTAGTATTAAGGAGACATAACATTTGTTTATTAAAAATGTATTACTGATGAGAGCCCTGGTGGCATGGTGGTTACACAATGGGTCGTGAACCACAAGGTCAGCAGTTTGAAACTACCAGGCACTCTGAGGGAGAAAGACAGGGCTTTCTACTCCTGTAAAGAGTTACAGTCTCAGAAACTCACAAGGGCATTTCTATCTTGTCCTATAGGGTCTCCATGAGTCTGAATTGACACCATGGCCATAAGTTTTGGGAAAACAATTTATTACTGATGTCTGAAAAGTCTAAAGAATTTTGTTTTATTGTATACTTATTTGACAAGAGGTCTTGTGATTCCTTTTAGGTATCTAGTAGGAAGAGTGCACTCCAATCTTCGTCTACGGAACTCGATGGGTCCTATTTGAGCGCAGTCAAACCACACATGTATTATCAAACCAAGCAAAGGCCAAAGTCTGCAAACCAGCCTTCAGCTTCAGAATTCCAGTTGGAGTTTAGGAATAATTCTGTAAAACCAGCAGCCTTACATCATCCCAATGAAGGTGTGGACAGGATGCCATCAGAGACCAGAACCTTTAATCATTCATCTCCGGGAAGAAAACCAGTTGATGTCCCTACAGAGAAAGCTACACCAGAAGAGGTGAAGATGAAAGACTGTCCAGACATTAAACTCCCATCGAGTAAATGTGGCCGTAAACTTTCTGAAAACGCAGATCATGTTCCTGAGAGCAAACAGGGCCATCCTACAAACATGGCCCCTCAGTGTCCCAGGACACACTCAGCATCATGTGGCTACTGTGGGCTTTCCTGGCCATCTTTGCTGCATGGTCCAGAGGCACTGCATCCCAGTGAAACTGATGTCCGAAAGCGACTCTCAGAAGACAGAAGGCAGCAACTTATGCTTCAGAAAATGGAGCTGGAAATTGAAAAGGAGCGCCTTCAGCATCTGTTGGCCCAGCAGGAGACAAAGCTTCTCCTCAAACAGCAGCAGCTTCACCAGTCTCGACTGGATTACAACTGGTGAGTCTCACCTGACCTTTCCGCAATGGCTGCACCTGGGAGAACAGAGGGTAATAACAGCTGGTGCGTTGCTATAGCAAATGTATAGAGACAGCTTCCTTGGGGTCTTGGCTTGCTCAAGCTGTCTACCAACTATGACCAACCAGTAAATTCTGGCCTCTTTGGAGGCCTTATCTTCCAGAATGCTAGCTTAGAACAATCGACTGCTGAATAGGCCAGTGTCGCTCTTGGCAAATTCCAAAACTGACATTTTACCATGATACTGCCATTACAAAAACCGATTTGCTTTTTAATGTTATTGTACAGCATATCAAACATTAAGTTAAATCTGGAGTTTTTAGGGTGTCAAATAAGATTGTGACAAAGATGGTTAGCTGTCATTTTCCCATAATTATTCATCATAGCATAAAAAATGAGGGAAGACTTTGAACATCAACCTCTGCTCATGAAGCATAACATTATTAACCAACTCATAAATACCTCCATATTTAGACTGTTTTTCTTAACAATTCCTCCATTGGAAGTGTTTCAAGTGCTAAATTGCTGGTTTCTACAGGGAATTGCTTGGATACTCCTTCCCTTTCTTCGTTGAAACATGCCATTCCCTTTTGTGTACTTTTTACCACAGACAGTCCCTGGTCTATGAATGAGAACTATTTCTGCGCATGTCTTGATGTTGAATTTGTCAGTATGTCAAAGCAGGCGCAGAACATTAACTTCTTTTCGCTTGAATGAAAGAAAAGGCTCAATGCCTTTTCAATGATTTTCAGACTTCCTGTGCAGCTAGTGCTGCTGATGGCCGGGAAGACGTTGTTTCCAGTAGAGGTTGGTTCAATCATGTCAAAGTAAAGTGTGTGAATTGTTCCTAAATCAGAGGTTAGTAACCATGGGACTGCCTGTATAGACATGCCCCCCAAACAGACTTGTGTTCTTTCCTTTTACTTCTTGGAATGAATTTTCTTTCGTTATTAGAATCCGTCTACTACTAGTTTTTAGGTTCTAATTTCTTTGTAAGTTTCATGTTGACATTTTTTTTCCTTCTGTGTAACTAGCATGTCCCTTTTTCTGGAGCCAGAAGTGATCTTCCTCTGTCTCTTCCTTTATGTTTGGACATGAAATAAGTGAAAATGAAGTCTCTCATAACAGGGTTGTGCACAAAGGTCAGGATGTTTTCATGTTATGATGCTAGTGGCTAATGCTCCGGTTAATGACAGGCTCTCCTGAGATCACCACTCAGTAAACATTTATTGAATGCCTTTGATCTCTGAGGACTGTTTCTAGATGCTTAGAATAAGAAAAGGAATCCAACGTGGCCTTACTTGGAGGAGGGAACAGTCTATCAAGGGAGAATGGATAATGTTAAAACCGCTATCGTGTTCACTGTTACAGCATCTACCTTCAAATAATGCTAGTAGCCATCATAAAAATCCTTCTCCTTTCTATTGCCCTAGCTTAGTTGAGAGAACTAGAAAACACAGCTTTGAACACATTTTGTGTACATATATAAACTGCAAAAAATGTAATCAGATTTATAGATAGATAATGATAGATGCATAGGGAATTGCAAGAAGAGTGCAGAAGGATTGCGTGTACCTTTCTTGGTATCCCTCAGTGGCCAGGGTTATGTAACCAGAATTCAATATCAAACCCAGTAGACTAACATAGATACAATGTGTCTCTGTAGTTCTATGCCATTTTAACCACCACCACAACCATACACAGAAGTATTTCATCACCACGAAGATCTCCCTTCTCATACCCCTATCGCCACACCCACCCGCCCTCTCTGAACCTCTGCAAATTAGTAATTTTTGTCCATCTCTGTGATTTTGTCATTTTGAAAATGTTATATAAATGGAATTATACAGTGTATGACCTTTCAAGATTGGCTTTTTTTTTACTTAACATAATGCCCTAGAGATCCATGTGGATTGTTGCATATATAATACCTTCTTATTGCTGAGTAGATTCCATAATATGACTGCCAGTTTAACCATTTTTTAACCATTCACTACATGAGGAACAGCGTTGTTTTTCCAGTTTTTGTCCATTACAAATGAGGCTACTATGCATGTCTGGGTTATAGGTATTTGGGTGGTCTGAAATCTTCTAGGTGCTTGCCATGAAAGCTGTGGGTGAAGCTAGTCTGGTTACTAGACCATATGGTAAGTCTATAGTTATTTTGCTGAATAAATATACGTTTAGTTTATAAGCAGCAATGTTTGTAAGGGCCACTTTTCCCACATCCTCGCCTTCAGTCTTGTCCCTCAGTTTTATTTTACCTATTCTATCATACGCATGGTGACATTTCATTGTGATCCTAGTGGCTGGTGATGTTGAGCATTTGCTTATTTGCCTTCCTCCCATTTTCCTCAGTGAATTGCCTCTACAGTGTCTTTTCATGATTTTGTAACTGGATTGTTTGAGACTTTTTTATTGTTGAATTTTCAAGAGTTCTTTATCCTGTATATGAGTCATTTGTCAGATATGTGATTTGCAAAGATTTCTCCGAGCCTGTAGCTTCTCTTTGCCCCTCTCAGCAAGGTCTTCTGTAGAGCAAGAGTTCATAAACTGAATAAAACTCAATATATTGATCCAGGTGTTAAATTTTGTCAGGTGAGATATCTGTGTCAATTGATAACATCTTTTGATTTTTTTTCTTATTCTAGTTGCTAATATTACATTAATTGATTTTCAAATATGAACAAGCTTTACATCTCTGGCATAAACTCTGTTTGGTCATAATGTATCATCTTAGTTTTTATATATTACTGACTTCTGTTGACTAATATTTAATAAGGATTCCATATCAATATTGAAGCGATATCTTGGGCCTTGGTTTTCTTTTTTTCTACTATCCTTGTCTAGTTTTGCTATCAAGGCAATAGCAACAACATCCCAAACTCTATCTGCTATTGAGTCAGTTCTGACTCATAGTGACCCTATAGGACAGGGTAAAACCACCCTGGGAGTTTCCAAGACTGTGAATCTTTACAGGAGTAGAAAGCCTGGTCATTCTCTGGAGGAATGGCTGGAGGTCTAAACTTCTGACCTGTAGATCGCAACGCAGCACATCGTCCCTATGCCACCAGGACTTCTCCATCAAGGTGATATGTCATCAAATAGATGGGGAGGGGAGGTATTCCTTCCACTTTAATTTACTGGCAGAGATGGTGTTGAATTGGTTAATTCTGATTCTTTAAAATCATTTGGTAGAATGCCCTAATGAGACTTTCTGGGTCTTAAAATTTCTTTTGGGGAAGTTTTTAAATTATGAATTCAATTTTCTTATTAATTATCATTATAAATCCCCAAAACACCAAACCCACTACCATTGAGTCAATTCTGACTCATAGTGACCCTCAGTAGGGTTTCCAAACCTGTAAGTCTTTATAGGAGTAGACAGCTTCATCTTTCTCCTTAGAAGTCATGGTGGTACAGTGGGGTAAGCATTGGGCTGCTAACCTCAAGGTTGGAAGTTCAAACCCACTATCCACTCTGTGGGAGAAAGAGGAGTCTGTCTATACCTGTGAAGATTTACAGTCACTGTGAGTCAGAATCAAACTGAGGACAAAAGATAATATTTGTTACAGGGAGGTCCAAATTATCTACTTGAAAATGAGTAAGTTGGGTAGTTTATGCTTTTAGAGGGATTGATTCATCTAGTTCAGCAAACATATGCGGGGGTGGATACCCGCCCCCCCCAAAAAAAAAAAAAAACGGAATGTTTTTTCAAAGCTATGTATTTAATTTTTTTTACAAAACAACCCTATCATCTTCAAAGTACTCTCCATTACATTTGTCACATTTGCAATTCCACTCTTGGAAACAATTTTCAAACTCATCTGTTTGTTTAGCTGACAGCACCTCCCTCGTTTTTGTTTTTTTTTCACCTCCTCATTTTCATCCAATCGCTGTCCTTTCATGTCCCTCTTCATTTGCAGAAACAAAAAGAAGAGAGGTCAGGTGAGTAAGGTGTGTGGAACAAGAGAGGCATGATGTTTTTTGCCAAAAACGAGCACCGAGATGGCTCCACAAGTAGGTGCATTGTTGTGGTGGCAAATCCAGCCGTCTTTCACAAATCAGGCTTTTTTTTTTTGTCTCCTACTGTTATGCAATCTTTTTAGAACCTCTAATAGAAAGTATGATTCACAGTCTGACATGGTGGAATGAACTCCAAATGCACTATGAGTCAACATTTTCATCTGTTCGGGAAGTTGGTGGACATCCAGGACAAGGTTTGTCATCAGTCGACATTTCACCTTTGAAATGAGAAAGCCACTCACACACTTGAGTTTTTCCCACAGTGCTGTCCTTGTAAGCTGTGTTCAAAATCACAACAGTTTCTGCAGCACTTTTCCCGAGCAGGAAACAAACTGTCACAGCCAAATTCTGTTCTCTCAAATCGGCCATCACAAAAAACACGGTTCTAGAGAAACTGCTTTCACACACAAAAAACAATCACTGTAACCAGAGAGAAACTTCCCAGGTGACACTACCAGGTGCACTAACTCAAGAGCAAGTTGCTAAATGCTCATATAGTGGGGAAAATGTGTACTACAATAGCCTCGCCCAGCGGAGCTTTTTCCCATTTTTTGACCCCCTCATATATATGAAGCTTGTTCTTGGTGTAGTTCTTAATTTTTTGATTGATAACTACAATTCAGGGTGTGCAGTTGTATCCCCTGACTTATTCGTGATATTGGTAACTTGTGTCTTTTGGTTTTTTGTCAATTTTGCTACAGGTTTGCTTATCCTAATTATCTTTTCAAACAACTAGCTTGTTGTTACATTGCTTTTTTTTCTAATATTTTTTGTTTGCAGTTTCATTGGTTTCTGCTAATTTATTTCCTTTGGTTTGAATTAATCTTGCTCTTTTTCTAATTTCTTAGGATGGAATCATAATTTCTTGGTTTGTAACTTTCCTTTTTCTCATGGAAGCATTTAGTGCTATAAATTTATATATTAACACTTTTGCTGCACACAAACTTTTATGTGTC